GGCCAAAGTGACTGCGCCCGCATGGCACCACCGCACCCGTTCCGGCACACCCCTCACACGTTCCAGGCCCCATAGGGAGCTCCACCGAAGAGGATACAGGCCACCGCGATATTCACAACTGCATATGGTTGGGTCTTTCGCCCAAACAATTTGTTGTGCAGGGGAATCGCTAAAATTTGGAATTATGATAATCGAGTCCGCGCGCATAGTTTTTCCAGAGGATATGTACATTGCAAAACGAAAAAGGGATGCGTGAAGTCCGGGGGAGGCGTAGTAGATCCTGCTACTCTTCCAGACAGGAGAATCTGTGCCATGCAATCTATGCGAGGTGGCGACAGGGCGGCGACGCAACAACGTAGCCGCCAGGCAGGCAGACCGGCCCAGATGACGGGCAGCGACGAGGCGGCGACGGGGCGGCGACGGCGACAACATAGCCGCGAGGCAGGCAGACGGGCTCAGCTCCCCAGCAGAGAAGCAAGGCGCCACAAAGTGCGAGCATTGCTTGGGGAATCTGAGTGCTTCACCGATGCGCGTGCCACTACTCGCAAGAAGTGCCTACTCGCAAACGACCGAGAAACAAGAACAGGTCTTCTTTTACGTGGTGCGTCGTGAATCTTCCGCGGCGGATGCAGGCCATTTGTGAGGAGTTGCTCTGCGAGTAGTGGAACGCGCTTGTCCAGTGCTCTCTCCGCTTCCCCCGAGGACGGCACGGGAATAGCACGCCCCCTCAGCTTTTAGTGTCTGTTGGGCAGGACGTCCTTATGCGGTATTCCTTTATTGTCGATCGGAACGTCTTCGGTGTCTAAAATGATGGGCCTGTTTTCCACCACCACCACCATAAGTTGGAGGGGGAAGGAGGTGGAGGATGAGGAGGAGAGAAAAAGAAGAAAAAGAAAAAAAATAAGCAGAAGAAGAAGAAGAGGAGGAGGACCCTCTCCCCCCTAGTTATGGTGGTGGTGGTGGAAAACAAGCCCACCATACAAATGGTGCTGCCGCTGCAGGGCTGGCCTCATTTGGGGGCCAGCGCTTTGCTCCTTTCGTTCCGGGTGGCGCTCTCGCCCCAGCGCGGGCGTCTCTTGTGGATCCGAGCCCTTCCTCGTTGTTGTCGCCCCCCTCCTTTCTCTTCCTCCGCCTTCCCCTGGTTCTCCTGCTCTTCCCGCTCCTTCCACTCCAGTTTCCGCTGCTTCTGTCCGTCCTCGTCGTCCTCGTTCTCGTTCCTCCTCCTCCTTTTCCTCCTGCTCGTCCTCCTGCTCATCTGCCACATCCTCCTCCGCCACCTCCTCCTCCGCCCCCGCCTATGTATGCCGCGAGCGCACGTATTTTGTCCTCTTCCTTGTCCTCCTCGACCTCTTCCTTCCCCCCTCCTCCGAAGTCCTCGTCAAAGTCCTCTTCCTCCTCCTCTGATAGCCTGTCGGCTGCGCCGCTGGTTCTCCCCGTGTGATTGTATTTGACCTCCCTGAGGATTCATATTATCGCTCGGAAGCTTCCCGCTTGCATCCTTTCGAGCTTCCCAACGACCTTGCCTCATGGGTGGAGTTGTACTCAGCGCTATCGGGTGGGGATCCAGAGGTGACGTATGGGTTGCTGTGCTGTATGGGGTTGGCCATCAAGTTCACGATCTTCGATGCCCTGTTCTTCAACCCTGGCCTCCTATCCCCTTCTTCCGACCTCTTGGGACCCAGCAAGCGTGTCGACCCAACGTGTGATAGGACAGATGTCTACCGACTAGCCCCCCCTGGCTGAGTGGCGCTCCTCCTCCTCTTTCTCCTCCTCTTCCTCCTTCACCTCCTCCTCATCCTCTCTCTTGTTCTCCTCGACCTCTTCCTCCTCCTCCTCATTATCATCATCATCATCATCATCATCATCATCATCATCATCATCATCATCATCATCATCATCCTCATCCTCATCCTCATCCTCATCCTCATCCTCATCCTCATCCTCATCCTCCTCCTCATCATCATCATCATCATCAGCATCAGCATCAGCATCAGCATCAGCATCAGCATCAGCATCATCATCATCATCGTCATCACCATCATCATCATCATCATCATCATCATCATCATCATCATCATCATCATCATCATCATCATCATCATCATCATCATCATCTCCCTTGTCCTCCTCGACCTCGTCCTTTCCCCCATCCTCCTATACTGGCTCCTCGTTGCCCGCGGACCCCTCCCCGTCCCACCCTTCTCGGCGCGGCCCGGAGCGAAGCCATCTACGCGGCCATCTTCGACTCTGCGCCCAGCCTGCAGAGCTTGTTCAAGACGCCGCGCGCGGTGTGACCGGTAGTGGGAAGCCTCTCCCCTCCCCATACCTCCTCATGCCGTGGCCAACATTTTCCTGGCCAGGGGCCCATCCAGGTGCGGGCGTGAATGCCGCAAGGCAGGTAGGAAGAACGGGGAGCTCCCTGTGGGGCCCAAAGCGCGTGAGAAGTGTGCCCCATTTGAGCTGGGCGGGGCCGCCATGCGGGCGCTGGCGCTGGCGCCGTTGGTGGCGCCGTTAGTGCCCCATGGGCAGAAAAAGGCCCCCGGGGGGGCCCTTCGCTGTCCTCGCGGCCTGGCGTGCCCCACTGCGCCCTGGGATCGCCGAACAACGACCCAGGACGAAGAGCACGTCCCGCGGAAAGGGCCCACCTCCAGCGGCCCACGCTGTGCGCGAATCGCGACCGTCGGAGGTGCAGTCAACCCGCATGGGAAGGATGAGGTTGCCCCTGCAGCCTTCCCCCTCGGCCCATCCTCGGCCGCTCTCGCTGGCCGCGCCCCGCTCGCAAAGTGCCGGCGTGGCCTCCCAAGGCCCTTGCATCTTCATCGTGCGTCCTTCTTATACGGGCTGACTGTGGGGGCAACGGGGAACGAGGAACGAGGAGGAGGATAAGGAGAAGGAGAAGGAAGAGGGGGAGGAGAAGGAAGAGGGGCAGGAGGAGGAGGAGGAGAATTTTTTGTCAGGTTGACTGTATGGGTCTCTCCCTGGCTCCCTCCCTGCACCCGGCCGTCCCTCGGCTCTTCTGCCTCCTGCTCCTCCCCCTTCCCCGACCCCCGCACGTCCCACGCTGTGATTTTTTAACGATGCGCGGCCCCAGGGGTCTCGACCCCGTCTTTGGGGGTAATTAGTGCTGCGACGCGTCTCGGATCCATTCTCGATGGTCCACGGGCCCGATGTCGGGTCTCCGAGGCCAAAGTTAGTACCATTTTGGCGAAGGGCCCACCCATGTGCACTTGTGAGAGTACCGCGTTGTGGGCACCGGTTTCGGTGGAGACCCGCAGGGGGTCACGATGTTCGTGAAGAGCGTGCCGAGATGGGCGCGGTGCCGCCATGCAAACGCTGTGGGGCCGCGATCCCCGTGAGTGGTGTGCCGAAGTGATTGCGGTGCCGCCATGCGCACTCGGCCGCTTGGGCCTTCGCTGGAGCTCCCTAAGGGGTCACGATCCAAGCGAGGGGCGTGCCAAACATAGACGCGGTGCCGCCATGCGAACGCAGATGCTGAGGACTTCGGTGGGGCCACATATGGGGTCACGAAGCGTATCAGGGGTATGCCGAAAAGGTTGCGTTGGTTCCGCATTAACGCAGCCATTGTGCCACTCGGTGGAGCTCCCCATGGGACCACGATCCTAGTGAGGGGTGTGCCGCAATGAGTGCGGTGCCGCCATGAGAACGCAGCCACTTGGGCATTCGGTGGAGCTCCCTAAGGGGCCGCGATCCTCGCGAGGGGTGTGCCGAAATTGGCGCGGTGCCCGTATGCGAACGCAGCCACTGGGCCTTTCGGTGGGGCTCCCTATGGGGGCACGTAAGTGTGAGGAGTGTGCCGAAACCGACGCGAGGAAGGCAGAGGCAAGAGTGTGAGGAGGGGGGAAAGAGAAGAGGAGAGGAGAAGAGGAGAGGAGGTACGCGGGGCGCGTTCTCTTCAAAACGAGGGCCCAACACCACAGGAGGGTTCGGACAGGTATCAAGGCGTAGGACCCACTCATATGCAGTTGTGATTATCGCGCTGTGGCTCCGCTTTCGGTGGAGCTCCCGATGAGGCCACGAACCGTGTGAGGGGTGTGCTGAAATGGGCGGGGGACACGCAAGCTGCCCGCGTAAGGCCGCGCGTAGGCGCCCTCGTCTCCAACGTAGCATGCCGCGCCAGCGGCCCGCGTAAGCCACCGCGTAAGGTCGCCACGTCATCTCCCGTAAAACCATTCCGTTTCGTCGCCGACTTGTCGAACGAAAGACGTTCGAGCGCGGCCCCGCTTCCGACCACTGCCGCGTCGAGACCACGGGATTTGGTCCTGTCTTTCTCGGGCGGCCAACGTCCGACGAGCTCGGCAAAGACGAAGCATCCGCCGCGCCGAAGCAACACCGCCATGTTCAAGCACAACGTGCGCGGGGCTTGGGCGAGGCCAGCACTTCGCCCGCTGTCGCGCGGCCCCGCTGCCGCGCTCGTGCGCCTCGTCGCGCTGAGCTGGCGCCGTGTGCACGCGGGAACGCCACTTCCAGGCGAAACTTGCACAATTTGCATGGAGCTTGGGAGGAGGAGGAGGAGGAGGAGGGCGGAAGAAGGGATGAGGAGGAGAAGGGAGGAAGAGAGGGAGGGAGATGAAGGAGGAGGCGGAGATGGAGGAGGTGGAGGAAGAGGAGGACGAGGAGGAGGAGGAGGAAAAGGAGGAGGAGGAGGAGGGAGAAAGAGGGGGGAGGAATGAAGGGGAGGAGAGAAGAGGAGGCGTGAGAGAGGAGGAGGAGGCGGAGGCGGAGGAGGAAGATAATGGAAGGATGGGAGGAGGAGAGAAGGAGGAGGAGGAAGAGGAGGAGGAGGAGTTGGGAGGAAGGGGCGCGAGCATGAGAAGGAGAAGGGGAAGGAGAGGGAGTATGAGGAGGAGGAGGAGGAGGAGGAGGAGGTGGAGGAGGAGGAGGAGGGGAGGAGGAGGGAGGGGAGGAGGAGGAGGGAGGAGGAGTAGGAGGCGTGAGGAGGAGGAGGAGGAGGAGGAGGAGGAGGAGGAGGGACCCCAGAGGTCATGGCCATGCGCTTCATGAACGGCCTCAACCAGATCATCGCCCAGCTTGGCGACCCCAGGTCCCTCAAGGTCGTAGTGGAGACACTCGGCTTCCAGCACCTCGACCTCGAGGCCGCCGTGCTCCCGTCTTGGGGTAGGGGGGTCATGAGCGAGGACGCGCCGAAGTGGCTTGGCATGGAGGGAGTGTGTCCTGGGTGAAAGCGGGTCCTGGGTTTGCTTCGCCGTTCTCGGGCCCCCTGCGGTCTTCCACGGGCCCAGCGGCCGTCGGAGGAGGAGGAGGAAGAGGAGGAGAAGGAGGAGGAGGAGGAGGAGGGAGGAGGAGGAGGAGGAGGGAGGAGGAGGAGGAGAAGGAGGAGAGGAGGCGGAGGAGGAGGAGGAGGAGTGGGAGGAGGAGGGAGGAGAAGGAGGAGGAGGAGTTGCCGTTTCCTTCGGGGCGCCTTCATTTCCGACTTCTCATGCGTTCTCTTCCTCCTTTTCCTCGTTGCACTCACTCATCCTCCTCTTCGTCCCTTTCCACCCTTTCCTCTTCCTCTTCCTCCTCCTCCTCCTCCTCCTTCTCCCTCTCCGTTTCCTTGTCCTTTTCCACATGCTCCCCCTCTGTCTTCTTGTCCTCTTCCTCCTGCTTTCCCCGCTATCCTTCCCCGCGCGCGCGAGGAGGGAGGGAGGGAGGGAGGGAGAGAACGGGAAGGAGGCGGAGAAGGGGGAGGAGAAGGGGGAGGATGAGGAAGAGGAGAGGTCGTCATCCTCCTTCCTGTGAGCACCGAGGTGACCGTACCGCGCGTCGTGATGTTCCGCGACGCGATCGTGGACTTGCTGCAGGCGAGCTTCGACCTCTCCAAGACCCCCCACCCCTCCCCTCCCCCCATCCCTCTTTGCTATTTTTTCCTTCTTACGACGGAGGAGGAGGAGGAGGAAGAAGAGGAGGAGGAGGAGAAAGAGGAGGAGGAAGGAGGAGGAGGAGGAGGAGGAAGGAGTAGGAGGAGGAGGAGGAGGGGGAGGAGGGGGTAAGAGGAGGAGGAGAAGGAGGAAAAGGAGGAGGAGGGGGGATGGATGGATGGAGGGAGGAAGAAGAGGAGGAGAACAGTGAAGAGGGGAAGGATGGGCAGACGTGGGAAGGATCAGGAAGAGGAGGAGGAGGAGGATCAGGAAGAGGAGGAGGAGGAGGAGGATCAGAAGAGGAGGAGGAGGAGGAGGAGGAGGAGGAGGGCAGGGAGGGCGTGGAGGAGGTGGAGGAGGTGGAGGACGTGTGTGCTGTGGAATGCTTAAGTTAGGACTGCATTACGAGCGCTTCCGATTGGGAGGATGGGGAGAGGGAGAGGAGAGGAGGAGGGATCAAACGGAGGAGAATACGTTGATGATAACATACAGAAGCTAATCACGTGAAGGAAGGAGACTATGACACGAGTTAGGGAGGGGTCCGGAGAGTTTAAGGGTTCGGACGGGAGGATGAAGAGGGACGAGGAGTAGGAAGGGTGGCAGGAAAACTAGGAGGAGCATGTCGATAATGAGATTGAGGCGGACGTGGAGGAGGAGTGGGAAGCGGGGAGGTTGCTCTCCCCATCCACTCTTCCCCTGAACTCCCCCACCCATGCACACCTCCTCTCGTCTCCACTCGTCTACTCTTCTGCACCCTCCCTCTCCAGCCTCAGCAAGAACTCTACTCTTCGCTCTTTCGCCCCAGGTAGAGCTGGCCGGGCAGCTGACCCGCAGCGCACACGGCGGCTGGGACACCATGCTGAATTACGTAGGCGGTGCCTACATCTACGTCCGCGTGAAGTACACCGACCGCCTCAAGATCTTGGCCACCCGCCCCCCCTCGAATCGCAGAGCTGCAGGAGCATCGACTCTCGGAGGTCCGCGCGGACTTCTTGGGTCGACCCTGGCCACTCGTGCCGCGCTGCAGCTGTTCTGCACGTTCTTCTGCTGCCTCCGAAATTCCGAGATTTGTATAAAGTAAATGGGGGGGCTGTGGCTTACATATACATATACACACAGGACAGGCAGCTCGGAGAGCTTCTGGCCGTAATCGACTTTTCCCGGCATCCGAGCAATCCGCGCAGACCTTCGAAAGTGATGCCTACGCCGTTTCTCGTTCCTCCATCCGCCTTCCCCCCTGCGTTATCCGCCTTCCCCCCCTGCGTAACTTGCGCGGCGTTCTAGGTTGAGCCCTGCCAATGGGCCCCAAATCACAGGATTTCTATCGATTCGCGCTGTAGAAAAAGCGGGAAAAGCCCCGATCTCAGGGCTGAACGATCCACGCGGCGTCGGAGACCAACGCAGAAGGTGTCACACGGACGAGCCGTACCCTCTTGTGGCCGTCCGTCCGCGGACGCCTGCATGAGAGCCTAGGGTGTGCGGTTTTCTCCGAAGTTTCCCCGGAGGTTTCCGGTCCGGATGCTTTAAGCAAGGGGAGCCAAGGGCGTTCAAATATGTCATTCCCCTCCTCCCTCCTCCTTGTCCTCCTCATTTTTCCCTCCCTTTTTCTTTCCCATGGGAGAGGGAGACGAGCCTCCTCCGTCCACCTCCACCACCTCTCCTCCTGCTCCTCCTTCTCCTCCTTCTCCGCCTCCGCCTCCATCCTCAACATGCTCCTCCGCCTGCTCCTCCTCCGCCTCCTCCTCCTCCTCCTCCTCCTCCTCCTCCCTCTTCTTCTCGGGGGGGGGAGAACTGCCGACCACCACCAGGCCAGTGTGTGTCCCGCCTCGGCCCCCTCGCGGCGGAGTTTCCCAGGAGGTCTCCGGAGGCCGAGAGGCAGGTCCACAAGCGTGCAGGAGCATCCAGGAGCCTCCTCATCCTCCCCCCTCCCCCTCCTTCCTCCTGCTCCCCCTTCCCGTCCTGCTCTTCCCCCTCCTCTCGCTTTTCTGTTCTTGTTCGTGGGGCTAACTTTGTGAGCGAAGCTCGAGGCGGCGTCGTCTTCTTCCTCCTCCCCTTCCTCCCCCTCTTACTCCCCCTTCCCCTCCATGCCAAGAACTTTTCCCCCTCCTCCTCCTCCTACCTCTTCCTCCTCCCTCCTCCTCCTCCTCCTCCTCCTCCTCCTCCTCCTCCTCCTCCTCCAGGCCCAGTTCCCCCGAAGGCCTCCGGTATATCCCCCCTGCTGAGTTCCCCGCAGGCCCAGAGGCGTTTCAAAACTGTCCAAGAGGCTCATCCTCATCCTCATGGTCATCCTCTCCTCCCTCTCCTCATCATCCTCCTTCTCCTGCTCCTTCTCCTCCTCCTCCGCCTCAGCTTCCTCCTCCTCCTCCTCCTCCTTCTCCTCCCCCTCCTCCACCTCCTCCTCCCCCTCCTCCTCTTCCTCATGCTACCCTCCGCCTCCCAAAGGGCGAGGGAAAGGGAGGAAGAGAAAGAGAACAGCGCCCGCACGCCGATAGACCCTCCCGCGCGCCGCCAGGCCTCCAGCTGGGCCACCGCCAACAACAAGCAGGAAGAGCTCGAGGCGAGGCCGACGAGGGAGAGGAGGCGAAGGAAGCGGAGGCGGAGGGAGAAGGGAGGACTCGGAGGGGAAGGAAGAGGAGGAGGAGGAGGAGGAGGAGGAGGCGGAGATGGATGAGAAGCAGAAGGATCAGGAGGAGCTCGAGGCGGTGGCCGAGGACCCCGAGGCCGCCGACGCCGAGGCCAAGGAGCGCGTGTGGGGAGGGGGGCTCAGCGCAGCATCGTGCGGCCACCAGTTTTGTCCGCGCCCTTTCCGCGCCCCGATGTGCGGGTGCCGCCGTGTCCTGCCCCAGGGGGAGACAGGTGGAAGGAGGAGGAGGAGGAGGAGGAGGAGGAGGAGGAGGAGGAGGAGGAGGAGTCCCTCTCCTCGTTCTCGTCCTCGTCCTCCTCCTCCTCGTCCTCCTCCTCCTCCTCCTCCGTTTCCTCCTCCTCCTCCTCATCCTTCGTGCCTCCTCCCCCTCCTCCCCTCACCAGGCTGCTGGTGTCAGACAACTCCGAGGAAACTTCCCGTATTCCCTCCTCCTCCTGCTCGTCCTCCTCTTCTTCTTCCTCCTTCTCCTCCTCCGCCTCCGCCTCCTCCTCCTCCTCCTCTCCCTCTCCCCCCTCTTCCTCCACGTCCGCTTGAACCTTCTCTGGGAAAAGTACCCGCCACCACCAGGCCTTTGGGAGTCCCGTCTGAGGCCCCCGCGCGGGAGTCCCCCTTGGAGGCTTTCGGAGGGTCCGGAAGCGTGCAGGAATTCCCTCCTCGTCATTCCTCCTCCTTATCCTCTTACTCCTCCTCCTCCTCCTCCTTCTCCTCCTCCTTCTCCTCTTCCTTCTGGTAATCATCCTCCTCCCCCGCGGTGGGGGGGCAGTTACTCTTCTGCCGTGTAAAGTATCCTGGTGCTCGGCCCTAAGCCACGGGGACGTTATCACAGTCAATTGCGCGTTACGGCTGGGGGCAACCAAGCCGGTTCCGTTCGCTCTTGTGTCTGCTCCTGCGCACCTTGCCCAGAGCCGCGGCGTTCAGCTGCGCCCGTGACACAGGTGCCATGCTCCGCGCTGGCTATTGGGCACGGGGATTGTGCATTCGGTTGAGACGCGGGGCCATGTGGTCTGTGGGTCTCATGGGGCTTTCGTGCCCGCCCGCCCTGGAAGTACCAACCCTGTTGAACATGCCAGCCAGTTTGGTTGGGGTGATGGTCGAGAAGTACCTTCCCCGGCGACGAGGTGAACCTACCGTCCCCCGTACGAGCCATGCCGTCTCGTCTGGGCGGCGAGTCATGGGGCGACGAGGCGTTGCCTATCTGCTGCCCGTTTCGTGGGCTCCGTGCCAGCGCATGCGCGGCTCCTCCCCTCCAGGAGGCCGGAGGTGATCGGTTGTCTCGGGGAGGCACTGTTTCACTTCCTGCATTTCAAGACTCCATGACTCCTCCTCCTCCTCCTCCTCCTCTTCCACCTCCTCCTTCTCATCATCATCATCATCATCATCATCATCATCATCATCATCAGCCTCATCATCATCATCATCATCATCATCATCATCGTCATCATCATCATCATCATCATCATCATTATCATTATCATCATCATCATCATCAGCATCATCATCATCATTACCATCATCATCATCATCATCATCATCATCATCATCATCATCATCATCATAATCATAATCAGCATCATCCTCATCCTCATCCTCAGCCTCCTCCTAGCGATCTCGGGTCCGAGAAGCCACCCTGCACGGGGCGCGCCCGGGCGTTTCAAGCGCCGACTGCTAGAGAGCCCTGAAGAAAAGCGGCGAACAAAACCATCAGTTATAATATTGTGATCACACGGGCGCGAGACAGCTAAGTAGGAGCTGTGCACTCATCCGTCCCCTCCCCTTTCTCATCCCCCTTCTTCCCTCCCCCTCCCTGCTGGCTCCTCGGTCCATACGTCCGCCGTCCCTAGAGAGAGAGAGAGAGAGAGAGAGAGAGAGAGAGAGCGTCTCTCCAGTGGACTCCTCCCCGCGTCCTCCTCCCGCCCCCCCTCCCGCTGACATTCGCTCGAGACGTGCCCCCGGATCAATCCTGGATACAAGATCCCCCCCCCCCAGCCCCCTAGCCTTGGCGACGAGATGGGCCCCAGACGGCCCAGGAAAGGGGCAGGAGGAGGAGGAGGATGAGGTCAAGGCGTCCTCTCTCTCCTCCTCTTCCTCCTCCTTCACGCCTACACGTTATCCTCATTGTCCTCTCCTTCCTCACTCTTCGTCGTCATCCTCTCTCGAAGAAGAACTAGAACCAGAGGCGCCGCCAGGGCCTCCGAACGTTTACGTTTAATCATCGCCTTCCTCTTATCATTTGAAATTTTATTGTTCCTCCATGCAAGTAGTACTATCATTGCCCTAACCATCATCCTCTTCGCCCTTTTCCTCCTTCCCCCCTCTATTGAGCATTTCTTTCCCCGAAGGAGGGCGAGGTCGCCGCCGGCACTGCCTCGAACGAGGCTGGCCCGAACGATGAGAAGGACAAGATGAACACCTTCGCGGACAAGGAGAGAGGGAGAGAGGGAGGGAGGGAGGGAGGGAAGGAGTAAGAGGAGGATCGCGGGATGGCCAGCCGAGACAACGGCGGCACTCGCTGCGCTTGTCGCCCTTTTGGGACCTCCTGGAGGCTTCTCGTCGTCACGACTGGATCGACTTGGAAAAGGAGGTCCGGATGGATCCGGGGAGGAGTCCAGGGACCGACTGTTAGCGGCAGTAGGGTGTGGCGGTTCCCAGAATACCCAAGGGAAGCCCCCCTCAAGGGTTTTCGTTGATGGTGGGGTGGGAGATTCTCCAGGACCCCACGGGACCCCCGCAATCATAAAACCTTTGAGGATTTTGTGTTCGGGGGTCCCACTATGTTTTTTGTGTGCGTGTATGTGTGCATGTGTATGCTTGCGCGTGTGTTTTTGTGCGTGTGTGTGTGCTTGTGTGTGTGTGTGCATGTGTATGTGAATGTGTATGTGTATGTGTATGTGTATGTGTATGTGTATATGTATGTGTATGTGTATGTGTATGTGTATGTGTATACGTGCGTGTGCGTGCGCGCGACTCTGTGTGCGCGTTTATATGTGACTGTGTGTGCGTGTGTGTTTATGTGCGCGTGTGCGTTTGCGCGCGCGCGTGTGTGTATGTGTGTGTGTGCGGGGGGGGAGGGCGCGCGCGTGCGGGCGTGTGTGTGTATGTGTGTATGTGTGTGAGGGTGTAAGAGTGTGTGTGTGTGTGTGTGTGCGTGAGTGCGTGTGTGTGTGTGTGTTCTAGGCCACCCCGCGCGTGCCTTCCGCTCGACGTGCTGTTCGCCGCACGGCTGTGCCGGGGGCCGAACGGTTATTCATTGTCCTTGGGCGCGTGGTTGAAGTGGATACCCGCGGTGCGGGCTGCGTTATTGCAATTGCGTGTGTATTGAGTCGTCGTTGTTGTTGTCGGTGTTGTTGTTGTTGATGGTGATGTTGATGTTGTTGCTGATGACGAAACCATTCGCTGGCGCCCCCCCGCCTGGCGCAACGCAACGCAACGCAACGAACCGTCGCCTCCCCCAAGGCGCAGCGCAACGTCACGCAACGCAACGGACGCAGGGGAGGTGGAGTGCAGCAGGAGAGGGAGGAGGAGCAGTAGGAGGAGGAGGAGGAGGAGGAGGAGGAGGAGGAGGAGGAGGAGGACGCAGCCGTTGTGGTGCTCCTGTGCGTCCCTGTCGTCGTCGTCATCGCCCTCCCTGTCTCCCTGTCTGTCTGTCTGTCTGCCGCCGCCGCCGACGACAACGACGACAAAGACCACAACGACGACGACGACGACGACCTTGCGGTTCTCTTGGCGATGCTGAGGCTGCCTTGGGCGAAGGGGATGAGAAATGTTAGGACTGTGACGGTTGCTACTACTACCTCTAGAACAACAGCAACGAATACAACAACAATTGTTACGACTACTACCCCGACCACTACTACGATAGGTATTACTACTACTACTACTACTACTACTACTACTACTACTACTACTGCTACAACCATTACTTCTACTGCCACTACTACGACTACTACTATCACTACAAGTATTACTAGTACTACTTC